ACAAATACCCAAAACGGGAGTATCCAATGCTGCAATTTTGTGTCATCTCTCTACCGCAATCACAGGGTTTATTTTTGTTTTGAACTATATACCAAGAGTAATACACTTTATTATAACTACTAATGCACCTTAACCCTTTTGTGACCAGAGTTTGTTGAAGCTTTGATGCCTAGTATGTGTCAGCTTACTTGACAATAACACAGACTAGATTTTCAGTTTGACATCATGCCCAAGAACTAGGAACACACAGTTGTGCATTCCAAGCTCTCTACTGCAAGGTTAATTAAGGTTCTTGAGGAAAATTAATTATTTCATGAGGACTTTCAGACTAAGAACATTAAACTATTTACATATTCAGTAAGAGAATGTATATACACTATTTACTCAGGCCTAGGTCAGTGCCCATAAATTACAGCAGACCATTAATATTGTGATTGGAAGTATATGCACATTTCATTGAAATATCCATTCAATGTCTATCACCTTTCATTTTGCGCCAAAACTTTAAATGTGTGAAATCCATCTATTCTCTATTATTTTTTTTTTGTATGTTTACAGACTCAACAAATGTCATTTTTGCTGTTTATCTATAAGTTATCGGAAATAAAGAGGCATTTTGACATTCTTGTAAATTTCTTATCTTGGAGTACAGTACAGGACCCAGAAATTGATTCACAGAATGTGGGTTATATGCCACTACCCGCAGGTGATTGGATACTGGCAAACGTCTTCACTGGGTCCACCGTGCCTACACTTTACTTTGTTAGCAAGCAATAGAGATACAGAGAAGAGAGGAGTAAAACCCGTATCCTGTAAGAATATGCATGCATCATACATACTAGGGGGGGTACAACTGGGGGAATCAATGGTGAAGAAATTTTGAGGAATTGGCTCACTCAAGGAAGGCTTATTGGGATGATCTGGTGGCCAGATCAGGATTGGTTAGACTCCCCCCGGTGGTGAAATGACTACACGTCCGCTGCTACCTGGAGCTCCTGAGGTTGAGATGTTTGCCCAGCTGATGCAGGCCAGATGACCACTCTCTGTGATCCAGTTCCAGTATCATTAGCCGGATGACCAGGAGTTGGTTAACACTCAAATGCGCATTACCATTGCGCTTTCTGGTTAGTGCAATCTACACTCATTTCTGTAGGAAGAATATGGTCACAGAAGTCACTTACTGTGTCACCTTTTTACCTTGAAATTGGTTTACATCATACACCGCAGGAACTCTCTTGTTGAAGATTTTCATTTATTTATTTATTTACTCACTTATTTATCATCATTATTATCCCTGGACGTTTTAGGTTATTTTATTAAGTGGTGTTCACTTTACCATTCACTATATGCACTTTTATTATATGCACCATATGAGGATTTGCATGCAATATTATGTCTAACTAGCGCTGCATGGTTGTTTGATATATTGTAGTTTGAGGCTCCTGGTGTTTGCCTTTCATGCAAGTCGCTTTTTGGTTGTTTATCCAGCGCTCGTATCTTTTTTGTTTTTCACACACACACACTTGTTAGTCACATCTTTAATCCCTTAACAGCCCCAGATGTTAACCCATTCCTGCCCAGTGTCATTAGTACAGTGACAGTGTGTATTATTAGCCTTTATCACTGTAATAATGGCACTGGTGAGGTCAGTGGCATTTAGTTCCCACAAAGTGTCAGTGTCAGATTGGCCACTACATTATCGCAGGTCGTTACAAGTCACTGATTGCCACCATTAATAGTATAAAAAAAAAATTCCAGTATATATACCATACTTTGTAGACAATATAACTTTCACACAGACCAATCAATATACATTTTCTGGGATTTGTTTTTTTTTTTAACCAAAGACATGTATTAGAATACATTTTGGCCAAAATTTATTTTATTTTCAAAATTTTATGGGATAGGTTTTATAGCAGAAAGTAAAAAATATTGTTTTTTTTTTTCAAAATCGTCTTTTTTTTTTATATAATAAAAAAATTAAACACAGAAGTGATCAAATACCACTAAGAGAAAACTATTTGTGTGAAATAAATTTACATACATTTCGTTTGGGTAGTGTTGAATGACTGCGCAAATGTCAGATATAGTAGCGTAGAGCCGCATAGCAAAAATGGCCTGGTCATGAAGGGGGGCAAATCTGAAGGACAAGTAGGTAAAAGAGTATAGATTGTCCGGGATTAGGGAATCGCAATCACCCAGGCGCTAACAGAGTTCCAGAGGCTGTAGCTCTGATGTATCCAACAGCAGGTGAAATAGCAAAATCAGCAGGGGTTAATAGGTCTTGCTGCTGTCAGCCAAGCCTGTGAGAGCAGGGAAAGGGGAAAATAGTTGCAGGAGATGTGCAGAGTGCTGGATAGAAATCGAGCTTAGGTGAGTATTTAGGGGTGGCTGGGGATGTATTACAATTAAAAGGGGTTTTTTATCTTAATGCAGAGAGTGCATGAAGGTAAAAACCAACAGTTAGACTTACCAGTAACTGTGTTTCTGAGAATATTCCAGGGCAGCACATGTGAGAGATGAGAGGCTCCTCCCTACAGGACACACACTCAACTGACCGCTGTTATAAGTCTCCACCCTGCCCCTTGTCCCTTTGTAATAAAGTAACTCCTGAAACCGGTCCACAAGGGGAATAATTCCACATAGTTACTTCCCACCTACTGCTTTTAGGAGTTTTCTCCCCCTCTTAACAGGGTGGGAAGTAGGCCTGCCGTCCTGGAAGGCTCCCAGAAACACCGTTATCAGTAAATCAATTGTTTTTCTCCTATCACCTTCCAGGATGGCATACCTGAGAGGATAATCCAGTAACCGCAGGCCTACCTTAGGGTGGCACCACTGCCTGCAAAACATCCTGCCACAAGTCAGGTCCTGCTGTGAGTGTACCTTCACTTTATAACACCTGATGAAGGTATCTTGGCTGGATCCTAAGGCTGATCTGCCAATCTGCTCCACTGATGATCTGCATTCTCAGCCCTGTTGCCGAATCTAGTGGAGTGTGCTCTTAAAGCTGATGGAATCAGAAAAACTCTGAATTTTGTAGGTTAGAGAGGTCAACTGTCTAAGCCATCTAGCAATCATGGCCTTTCCAGCCCGTAACCACTTCTCAGGGCCCCATGAAGGACTAAGTAACAAGGACTAAGTAACTCATTTTGTGAAACAAGGAAATTACTTTGGGCAGACAAAGAGGACGCTGCTTAACACTACTCTGTTCAGGTGGATTATTTAGGAAAGGCTCCCTGACACCCTTTGTAGGTGGGCAATAGATGTGAAAGAAGCTAATTCATGGGCTCAAAAAAGGCTTGACAGGTAGTACCCAAAGTACGCCCATACCTATGGTTTCCTCACACCTGTATACTGGTGGGTCAGCTATTAATATGCTATATATACACCGAAGCTCCCTATACACCTGCAGCTAAATGCAGATAAATAGAAAGGAGCTGTGTAAATAATGATAGGAACTATACCACAAATATCAGGTGTCCTGCCTGATGTCTGAAACCTGCTTCCAGAGACTAAGTCCATAGCAGCAACAGAACATTCATATATATTTACACCAAAAGGAAACAAGCAGAAACTCCAATGTTGTGTATTTCTGGTGTGCCACATGAGAAAACACTTACATAGACAGAACAGCCCACAAGCTCCCATGTGGTGCATTTCTGATGTGCTGCAAGATAATCCAACAAATAGAAAAAACAGAATCCTAATTTCCATGTTGTGTACTTCTGATGTGCAGCTAGCTAAGCAATCTAACTAGCATAAAACAGAAAATACACACGATAAACCTCACTGTTGTGTATGTTTAATGTGCAGGCAGATAAAGCAACATAACAATTACAGATTGAAAAGACATAAGCATAACATTCCGTGCATTTCTGCTGTGCAGTAAGATACAACGGATAAACAGAAAAAAACACAAGCATAACCCCCAGTGTTGTGTATTTCTGAAGTGCAGCTAGATAAATCAATATGTCAAACAGAAAAGACACAAACATTACCTTTACATGTTGTGTATGTGTGATGCACCACCAGCTAAAGTAAAATAAATATAAACAGAAAGGACACAACTTCAATATTGTGTATTTCTGATGTGTAGCAAGGAAAAGCAATATAATCAATATGACCAACAAGGACAACAGCCTTTAGGCTCATTTTACACTGTCGCAACTTGGGAGCTGACTTGTGAGACCCCAAGTCGCATGACATGTGAAATCCCATGTTAGTCAATGAGTGCTGTCTTAATTAGCAATACTGAAGTAGCTCTGACTTTAGCAATAGATATAAACAGAAGAGATACAACATAATCTTCACTGATGTGTTTGTATGACATGCAGCAAAATAAAGCAGTGTATCAGTATAAAACAGAGAGACACAGATTTTAATATGTATTTCTGATATGTGGCAAGATAAAGTAATAGAACACACAAAACCAGAAAATACACAACCAAACTTCAATGTTGTGCATTTCTGATGCACCACCAGCTAAAGTAATAGAACACATACAGTTATGTCCATACGGTGGATATAAATAAATGGAATGGATGGAAAAAATGGATGGAAAAAATGAGACAAAGATAAATCATTTCAGAACGTTTTCCACCTTAACCACTTGCCTACAGGGCACTTATACCCCCTTCCTGTCCAGGTCAATTTCCAGCTTTCAGCGCAATCACATTTTTGAATGACAAATTGCGCGGTCATGCAACACTGTACCCATATGAAATTTTTATAATTTGTTTGTGACAGAGCTTTATTTTGGTGGTATTTAATCACCTCAGGGTTTTTTATTTTTTCTTAAAAACAAACCAAAAACCACTGAAAATTTTGAAAAAAAAATGTTTTTTCTTAGTTTTTGTTAAAAAGTTTTGTAAATAAGTGATTTTTCTCCTTCACTGATGTGCGCTAATGAGGCTGTAGTGATGGGCACTGATCGGCGGCACTGATAGGCTGCACTGATGGACACTGATAGGTGGCACTGATGAGGAGGCACTGGTAGGTGGCACTGATGGGCATTGACAGGCATCACTGATGGGCACTGAAAGGCAGCACTCATATATGGCACTGATAGGCGGCACTGACTGGCACTGATAGGCGGCACTGACTGGCACTGATAGGTGGCACTGATAGGCAGCAATGATGGGCACTGGTGCAAACTGATAGGTGGCACTGACTGGCACTGATAGGTGGCACTGACTGGCACTGATGGGTGACACTGAAAGGCAGCTCAGATGGGCACTGATATGTGGCATTGATGTGCACTGGTAGGCACTGAAATGTGGCACTGGCAGCTGGCATGGATGAGCACTGACAGCTGGCACTGATGGACACTGACAGGTGGCACTGCTGGGGCTACACTGATCATCAGTGCTCTGATGATCTGTGTACATGTCCCCTCCGAGGAATGCCGATTACCGACTCTCCTCTCGAGCTGTCAGCGTGACAGCTCGTGAGAAGAGAAATGCCGATAACCAGCATTTCCCTGTTTACATGTGATCAGCTGTGATTGGACACAGCTGATCACATGACCGAGCTGACATCTTCGGCTCTTTCCGTTGATTGATGATCCGCTGTGCTCGAGGGACACAGCGCACCGCCGATTGCTGCGCTGCGCGCTCCTGGAGCCGCGCATGTGCGGTTAGAATGGGAGGACGTCATATGACGTCCTCCCAGAACGAGAGAACCACCTTGCGCCCGTCATTGTATTATATGGCGGGTAGGAGGCAGTTAATGTGACCTGTAAACTGTACAACTCAGTTGAACAACAAATGGAAATCTTTTAGATGGAGAGAAGTAAAAATATAAAAAACTAAAATAATATGGTGTCTAGGTGTGCACACCCTTAGGGCTCATGTATACGGAAGCTGATAAACTCACGTTTAGGAGATGTTCAGCATCTTTTTCAGCAGCCCCTGAACTCACCCTAATGTTTTCCTATGTGTCCATGCACACATCTTCGTTTACAGTTGTTTACAGGCATTTGAGTTTACAGACTTTTTGAACGCAGAAAACTTGCATTCAGCAGTTGATTTTATCAGCGTTTCAAACGCAAAATGCCTGTAAATGTGTGTAAACGCGGCAAATCGCATTTATACGCGTTTGAAATTTTTTTTTTAACTCTTCCAGTTCCCAATGCTCTCCAGAGCCTTTTTTTCATCATGAAAAGTGCATGCAAAGCATTTTCAAGGTACTCAGCTGGACAAAACACTGTACACAGGATGTTCCTACCAAGCTTGTCACACATTGTAATGAACAATTCACACCTCAGACCCTCCCACCCTTGGAAACAAAAGATATGTTAATGACAATTCACATCTCAAATTCCTCATGCACACCCCCTGCCAAGGTGACCTTAATGACTCACTGCAGCAGGCACCTTTTCCACCCTTGGAAACAAAAGAAATGTTAATGAGCAACTCACGCCTAAGCTAATCTCAACACCTACTGCTCTCTCTGCTTCTACTCTCTGTATTTCTCTGAAACAGTCTGAAATAGTTAATAATTTACCACTTTTCAGTGCAATCTGGGCATTTGGGAGGTTCTCCTGTGCTTATCTTAAAAAATAACGCTTCTAAATGCAAACGCGCATAAACACGCAAAAACGCATTATGCAAACGCAGCTAAACAGACGTTTTTTAACCTATGTTTTCCAGCAGTCAGTTTCCATCGTTCAGAAGTGTCCCGTGTACATGGGGCCTTAAACTAATACTTTGTTGAAGCACCTTTTGATTTTATTACAGCACTCTTTTTGGGTATGAGTCTATCAGCATGGCACATTTTGACTTGGCAATATTTGCCCACTTTTCCTTGCAAAAACACTCCAAATCTGTCAGATTGCGAGGGCATCTCCTGTGCACAGCCCTCTTCACATCACCCCACAGATTTTCAATCGGATTCAGGTCTGGGCTTTGGTTGGGCCATTACAAAACTTTAATCTTCTGGTGAAGCCATTCCTTTGTTGATTTGGATGTATGCCTTGGGTTGTTATGCTGAAAGATGAAGTTCCTCTTCATGTTCAGCTTCAGAAGCCTGAAGGTTTTGTGCCAATATTGACTGGTATTTGGACCTGTTCATAATTCCCTCTACCTTGACTAAGGCCCCAGTTCCAGCTGAAGAAAAACAGCCCCAAAGCATGATGCTGCCACCACCATGTTTCACTGTGGGTATGGTGTTCTTTTGGTGATGTGCAGTGTTGTTTTTGCGCCAAACATATCTTTTGGAATTATGGCCAAAAAAATCAGCCTTGGTTTCATCAGACCACAACACATTTTTCCACATGCTTTTGGGAGATGTCAGATGTGTTTTTGCAAAATGTAGCTGGGCTTGGATGTTTTTCTTCATAAGAAAAGGCTTCCATCTTGCCACTCTACCCCATAGCCCAGACAAATGAAGAACATGGGAGATTGTGGTCACATGTACTTGCCAGATATTCCTGCAGCTCCTTTAATGTTGATGTAGGCCTCTTGGCAGCCTCTCAATCCAGTTTTCTTCTCGTCTTTTCATCAATTTTGGAGGAACATTCAGTTCTTGGTAATGTCACTGTTGCACCATATTTTCTCCACTTGGTGATGCCTGTCTTCACTGTGTTCCGTGATATAATTAATGCCTTGGAAATTCTTTTGTACCCTTCTCCTGACTGATACCTTTTAACAATGAAATCCCTCTGATGCTTTGGAAGCTCTTTGCAGACCATGGCTTTTGCTGTAGGATGCAACTGAGAAAATGTCAGAAAAGACCTACTAGAACAGCTGAACTTTATTTGGGGTTAATCAGAGGCACTTTAAAATGATGGCAGGTGTGTACTGACTCCTATTTAACATGATTTTGAATGTGATTTCTTAATTCTGTACACAGCTACATCCCCAGTTATAAGAGGGCGTGGACACTTATGCAACCATAATATTTTTGTTTTTTATGTTTACTCCCCCTCAAAAAAGATTTCAGTTTGTTTTCCAATTGAATTGTACAGTTTATAGGTCATATCAAAAGGTGGAAAAAGTTCTGAAATGATTCATCTTTGTCATTTTTTTACATCACAGACACCTGACATTTTAACAGGGGTGTGTAGACATTGTATATCCACTGTATATATTTGGACACAGGCGCAATTTTCATACTTCTGGCTCTGTCTGCCACCAGAACAAATTAAAATGAAACAATCCAAATGAATTTGAAGTGCAGACTTTCAACTTTAATTCAAGGGATTGAACATAAATATCAAGTTCACATTTTAGGAACTGCAACCATTTTTATACACAGTCCCTCCATTTTCAGGGGCTCAAATGTAATTGGACAAATATAATCATAAATAAAATGTTAATTTTTAATATTTTGTTGAGAATCCTTTACTGGCAATGACTGCCTGAAGTCTGGAACCCATGGATATTACCAGAGACTGGGTTTCCTCCTTTCTGATGCTTTGCCAGGCTCTAACTGCAGCTGTTTTCAGTTCTTTGTTTGTGGGTCTTTCTGCCTTTAGTTTTGCCTTCAGCAAGTGAAATGCATGCTAAATTGGGTTGCGATCAGGTGATTGACTCAGCCATTGCAGAATATTCCACTTCTTTTCCTTCAAAAGCTCCTGGGTTGCTTTTGCAGTGTGTTTTGGATCATTGTCCACCTGTACTGTGAAGCGCCGTTCAATCAACTTTGCTGCATTTGGCTGAATCTGGGCTGACAGTATACCTCTAAACACTGAAGAATTCATCCGGCTGCTTCTGTCTTATCAATGAACACCAATGACCAAGTGCCACTGGAAGCCATGCATGCCCATGCCATCACACTGTCTCCATCAAGTTTTACAGATGATGAGCTGTCCCAAACCTTCTCCACACGTTTTTCTTCCCATCATTCTGGTACAGATTATTCTTCGTTTCATCCATCCAAAGAATGCTTTTCCAGAACTGGTCTGGCTTTTTAAAATGTTTTTTGGCAATATCTAATCTGGCTTTTCTATTCTTCAGGCTTATAAATGGTATGCACCTTGTGGTGAACCCTCTGTATTTGCTCTTGTGAAGTAATCTCTTGATTGTAGACTTTGACAATGATACGCCCACCTCCTGGAGAGTGTCCTTCACTTGTCTGGATGTTGTGAATGGGTTTTTCTTTACAATAGAGAGGATCCTGCGATCATCCACCACTGTTGTCTTCCATGGACGTCCATGCCTTTTTATGTTGCTGAGCTCACCAATGCGTTCTTCTTTCCTCAGAATGTACCAAACGTTTTTGAAGCCTAACAATGGCCTGGTTCATTTGCTTGGACAGCTCCTTTGAATGCATGATGTAGTTTCACAGCAATAGATTCCATATGCAAATACCACACTTAGAATCCTGATTAACCTCTTGCCGACCAGCCACTGCATTAAAACGGTGGCAGGGCGGCACGGTTGCGCAAAACCACGTTTTTTAAACATGCTCCGCGCTCCCGAGGTTTTCGTGGGCAGGTGGGGCATGCGCCCCCGCCGACCCACGGCTTTCACCATTTTGATCCCCGAGGGATCAATCACACGGTTTCAGCCAGTGATGTCCGGATGAAATCGGATGATCGGTCCCTGTCCTATCCTGTTCTGTGTTGACAGTTACACAGGACAGGATATGATGTCATTCTTCTCTGCCTGGGCACATTCCATCCCAGAGAGAGAAGAAGACATACAAATCGTGAGTAAAACAGCACATACCCACAGTTAGAACACACCTAGGTCACATTTAACCCCCTGATCGCCCCCCCAGTTAACCCCGTCACTGCCCTGTCACCAGTGTTATTGATCACAGTGAACAGATTTTTACTGATCACTGTATCAGTGTCGCTGGCGACTTCCAATAGTGTTAGCGCCCCTCCCAGATAGCGCCGGTTTGCCCGCTAGTACACCAGTAATCCCATTTAACCCCTTGAACGTCCCCCCCCCCAGTTAACCCCTACACTGCTCTGTCACCAGTGTCTTGATTACAGTGAACAGATTTTTACTGATCACCGTATTAGTGTCACTGGCGACTGCCGATAACATTAGCGCCCCTCCCAGATAGCGCCAGTTTGCCCGCTAGTACACCAGTAATCCCATTTAACCCCTTGATCGCCCCCCCCCCAGTTAACCCCTTCACTGCCCTGTCACCAGTGTCATTGATTACAGTGAACAGATTTTTACTGATCACTGTATTAGTGTAATTAGTGACTTCCGATAGTGTTAGCGTCAGTTAGCGCCCCTCCCAGATAGCATCAGATTGCCGCTAGTACACAAGTAATCACATTTGACCCCTTGATTGCCAGGAACATGCTTACTTGCACGCTAACCCTCCATTGCTAGTATAGTGTCTGATTGGATCAATATCTTTGATCAGATCAGCGCTATACCAGCGTTCACATTACTATAGTATCCCCAAAAACGCAGCGTCAGCGGGATCAGCCCCGACGCCCTGCCAGCACCTGCGTTTAGCCCCTATGCCGCCCCCCCCCCTTCTCCCCCAGCAAGTGCAGTGTCAGTAGATAACTGTCACTTGATACATTACACACAAAACCGCAGTGTTCACAGAATCAGGCCTGATCTCTGTTAGCACTTGTCGGTAAATTTTTTTGTAGCGGTTCAAGCAGTCCGACAGCCAGGCGCTCTTTTTCCGGTGAGAGTTGCACTAGGTAACTATAAATTT